ATAAAACTAAATAAGTATAATAAGTATAATATAAATAAAACTAAATAAGTATAATAAGTATAATATAAATAAAACTAAATAAGTATAATAAGCATAATATAAATAAAACTAAATAAGTATAATAAGTATAATATAAATAAAACTAAATAAGTATAATAAGTATAATGAAAATAAATGCTTTTATCTATTTAATTCGATGCATTCATGAATCAAACGATCATTTCGATACAAAGAGAGTATCTCGAACTCGTCAAAATAATTAAGAAAAGAACTAGCATTGCATTTTGTTTATTCCTTCTCGCTACAGATGCACGAAATCCGCAGTCTCCTAATCATTGAAAACTGCGTCAAATAAACTACACAAGTCGCGCGCGAACATTAATAAAATCCATTAAGAAAATCCACATTTCTGAGTTCCAATACTCAACAGCTGGAAGGAAGAAACACAAAGGCTGCCATAAGTTTCTCCGAAGAGTCAATTCCCGGATTATGCACAAGTTCCCCCGATCACGGGCGATCACGGACGATCACGGACGATCACGGACGATCACGGACGATCACGGATGATCACAGTCCATGCATATCCGGCAGTCGATGGAGCTGATTATTCATGAAATCAGCGAGGCTCTTTCAGGATATATCGACTAGGCGGCGTCTCGGAACTCGTAGTCCTCGCCGCCCCGTTCTCGTCGGCCACTTTTCTCCTAAGAAAGCACTCAGCGTGCGGATCGAGGAGCAGTTCTTTGTGCCACGGAATTTTTTCGCCGATTAACCGACCCTCGTAACGAAGACACCATTATCGGAGCCTCGTTTCCGCGTGATTCCGCGCGACGCAGCGCGCCGGCGAAGGTCGTCAACGCGTCCGAATAAAAATCCAATTTCCCCTAATCGATGGATGTCCCGCGAATCCGCGCAGGAAACCGGTCGGAATGGCTCTCGGCCGACGAAGTATTATCGGGGATGATTAACGAATCGCGCGCGGATTTGCGGGAACGCGCGCGCTGCTCGCGATTCGAAAAATCCCGTCGAGCGTTCTCGGCCGCGGCCAGATACACACTCGATTTACGATTTATCGCCGAGACGACTGCCTAATGCCAGTTAATCCGAGTTAATAGGCAAGCTGACGCAGCCGCGGCCGTTTTAAACCGTCGGATCGCGAATAAACGTCGCGGAACGGCCGAAAACGCGATAACAGCCGAGTGAGCAAAACGATTTTTGTCCCGACGATGTACATTGTATGTATCGCGTACAGGGTGAGTCATTTGAATCCCAGTCTTTTTTGTGAGCTACATGTCGTACGAGGAAGAATCGTTTCGAACGAAAGTCGTCCGATACGAACTTTATAATAGCAAAAAATTAATTGTTCTCGCGATACATTTTTCTATGCGTTTACAAGAGAAATTAAGGTTTTTAAATCGGCATTAAATCGGCGTTAAATCACTCACCCTGTATATGTTTTAAATGTATGTATGATAACTAGACTGCGGATCTATATGCAATATAAAAAATTGTAGAAATTAATAACGAGAGATACAGGTAAGTTGAAAACGTATTTCCTCTTTTAATAATTGCAACAAGTTGAAAATAATGTAATAGCGTCCTCAAATCTATCCTTATAAATTGAAATTCTTTACGGTTTTGTATTTGTTCTGTCCATTTTTCTCATAAATGCATAAAATTCGTGGTCTGTATAAGTACAATAAAGTTAAGATCACTTTGTATATGTTTGTATTCTGTATTTATAATTATGCTTATTTGTAACAATTATAATTATAATCATTTGTATTTTGTCATTTGTAATCATGATGTTTATTGTACTATATGCATTATATATGTAATTTACATGTAAAAAGCATTTTCTTACCGGAAGAAATATTTGCATTGAATTTGTAAAAACTAGCAAAAATTGCACAACAATTTGCGTATAGAATCAATTTTCAGAACTGAAATTGTTAGACTACTTCGTACTACTTCTATTTATTCCCTAAATATACAGGTAACTTTTGCCGCCTCGTTTACACGAGCAGACGAACGAGATATAATCATAAATATGTGTGAATATCGCAAAATGTAAGAAATATTCCAGCATTTTTATTTTGCATTCGCGTAGAGCGAAATGTAACGAGAAAAATCATTTTGCCCGGCTGGAATCGCGTTTCGGACCGCTGTGTGTCGGCTCCGCGTTAAATCGCGACCGGGCCGGGTCGGGCCGGCCCCGTTTGTAACGTAAATATCGTTTGTAATCGAGCCGGTGTTCCTGCGATCGGCGGATCTCGTTTGCGAAGTCGATCGAATTATTGCTAACTTCGTGAGGATCGCACGGTGCAACCTGATTTTCTAGTGATCGTGGCTCGGTGGGCTGCGTTCGGATGCAGCCCGGTGCATTACGACAACGTCGATAAGAATAATCGAACACACCCTCCGATAATGCAGGGGGACTCGGGGAAAATTGCAGCGTGCACCGATACGTCGCCTTATTTTTCAAGCGATTTTCACAGAGCAGAGGACCTCCTCGTTTGGGCGTTCAGATGAAGATTTAATCTTGAAATAGCGGTTCGCGTGCATAGCGAACTTTGATGCGATCTCGTTAGATAATTGAACTCCGAAGATCGCGGCCTTCGTTCAGATGCTGCAACGAGGCTTCGAGAATTTTGTCGGAAATTTTTGAGAAAATTCTAACGCAGCTTCTCGCCGAGTACAATTTTAGACGGAGCTTCGGATCAACCGACTCTTTTATTATGACTTGCTGGCTAATTTTAGCAGTCTAGTTTCGATTTCATTAACAAAATTATTTTTATTTCGTGGAATGTGTGTGTGTGTGTGTGTGTGTGTGTTTGGGTGCCAGTACAACAGGAAGCTCGTTTCCTTCTTCAATTACGATTCGTTTAATTAATTAAGATTAAAATGTAGCTCAAAATTCTGTAGACGCTTGTTTGTTAAACTGATTTAGCTAAATCTGCTAAAGAATTCAAACAGTATCTTCACTGATAAATATAGAAACTATAGTACTCTAATAATAGACAGACCGGGCTCATTACACAAATTCTAATTCACACAGTCCATTAAAAAAAAGAAATACAACTTTCTACACAAATTCTAATTCCCGCAGTCCATTTTATAAATTATAAAATATATTTTAAAAAACCATAACCACAGCTCTCCACACGAATCCTAATTCACGCGGTCCATTTAAAAGACAAATCATACAACAGCTCTCTACAGAAATTCTACCTCGTGCAGCGCATTTTAAACGAGACTGCAGCAATTCTGTGCACAAACTTGAATTTGCACGGTTCATTTTACCAAACAAGAAAAACCTGATTTCACAAACTACAAAATTCCACAGCGAGAAAACGTATTGAAACATCGTCGTTCTAAACTTCCTGCAATTAAAAAATTTCTGCATGTCACGAGGTTGCGTAAAAATATCGAGACGACTGTTCCAAGGATATGTATTTTCCTCTGTCGGATGATAGGCGATGGAAGCGGCGGTCAACAACGCGGACAGCAATTCGTTCGCCAGAGTTTACGACCGAAAAAGATACGGTTCTACGTCCCTGCTGCGTGAACTGGTTTCCTTGAACACGGTTCGAGGAACGTGATTCGAATGCCAGCGTCCCTTGCGGATTGTCTTCCGCGACCTCGTGTCCCGCAAAGCGCATCGCCACGAGCATCACGGGGCCCGGAGAATCTTTGTCTCGAAACTTACAGGACCGTCAAGGATTCGGCGATGCTAAACGATCGTCCACGAGAGAAAACTTCCACGAATGCTCTAGGAACTATGGACGTTCGGGGTCCACTCGCCTGAACATTCGGATCGAAGATCGTTCTGGTTTTATTTTGTTGCGGCAGGTCCTGGTGGTGAAAAGTTTTGGAAGACGAAAGAAAGAAAACTGTGATGAAACGTATAGATTTCGATACATTGTTCTATTCGTTTCAGATTGAAACATGGCATTTGAGTTTACCTGACAACCTAATTTCGCGGTTTTTGCTCTTGCAGTTCCTGACATTGTGGAAATGTTCTTGTTCGAAATTTTTATACGAACTTCTTCAGTGAAGCAGATATTATAATAAAAGTTGTAGGCAGTTTAAATAAATCCAATCTCATCATTGTTATAAAACGATAAATGTATATTAGTTACATTTAGGATTATTTGTCAATATAAAACAATTACGGTTGATAGAATATATGTTAGATTTTGATGAATTGTCCGCGAAATGAACGGACTTCCAGCAAACTTTCTATTCAACTCCTGTTTCTCGAAACCGGCGTGGACAATTTCTATTTTGCGAAGATAGAATATTCCGTATTATAATAGAAAATATTCTGTATACTTCCGAGTATCCTGTATTTCTGAGAGAATATTCTGTAAAATCGAGTCACCGTACTCTCTCGTCGAAATTTGATTTATCCTCGGCACTGTTTGCGACCGTCGTAACCATTTCAACCGCATCGTTTTCGATCAATCTTTGTCACCGTTCGATGCACCCGGACAAGCAGAATAAAGAAAAATCAGCTGGCCATTTTCGGTACGTCTACCGTCCGCGATCATATTCGCAATTCTGCATCCGGACACTGACAAACGGCGTTAACATTCCACCCACTGACAAGTGCACGCTCTAACCACTCGATCAACAGACTAAAGAAGAGCGATCTCGGACCGTCCCGATCGGTCTGAACGAATACGAAAATTCACGAAGATCGTCGATCGAACCCTTTCATCGCACTACAATCTCCCAAGAGCCGACGCAGCCTCGCTCCGAAATCAGCCTGAACCGAAATCAAAATCCTCTCGTCCACGTCGCGTGGCAGCGGCGAGACACCCGAATTCGTCGAAGCCTCCACCGAAGAGAGCCTCGTTCGCGAAGATCCTCGTCGGAGCGTCTCGAGTGGCAAGCCGAAAGAGATTCGATCGAGGATCGAGGCAGAGGCACGGAGACCGTGCTCGAACCGCGTGACGCAACGCGTGGGTGCTCGTAGCCGGAGTAAATAAAACGACCTTGACTTTCCGGCATCTCCTGGCCGCGATGGACCTGGACCGCCTTCTGATTGCCTCCAGAGGAGCCGGATTACCGCAGGACCCGTTCCGTCGTACTCCAGTTCCGCACTTCTGCTCGACACTTGGCTAGACTACTGCTCACGTGGCCACGATCGCGATCGAACGAGACGGGGGTGGACGATACGGGGCAGCGGAAAGAGCCGAGACACAAAGAGGGTGCACGCTCGCAGCGTTCCTGCACGTTAGGGTGCACACCGGGACGACGACGGCTCTCTGTACACGTGCGCGGAACCGTTCACCAGGGTGTAACCGGGTTGCGAGCCGTTCACCAGGCTGTTCACCTCGCGGAGGGACTGGACCGATGGTGCTGCGGGGACCACCACGCGAAGGACACGGCACACATCCGCGACACAAGGACCAAGGACCAAGAGCCGAAGGACGAGGGCGACAGCCCCGGCGGTGGAATCGCTCGCTCGCGGCGCGGTCTGGGCGGTGACTGAGCGGACCGAGGCGTCGAGACGCTCGGCATCTCTCCCACCCACTCTCTCTCTCTCTCTCTCTCTTTCTCTCTCTTTCTCTCTCTCTCTCTCGCTCTCTCTCTTTCTCCAGCTCTCTCTCGCTCTCTCTCTCGCTCTCCCTCTCTCTCTCTCTCTCTCCATATCCTGCAAGCCTGCGACGGATACCACTTTTCGGTTGCTCCCCGTTCGTGCTCGACTTCTGGCTCGCGCGCTGCCGCCCCCGCGTCGCGTTCGACTCTGTCTCTCTACACACCACACTGTTGTTATTTACAAGGTTCGTGCGGATGCTGTCGCGAGCTGGTCGGTGCGTGCTCGACAACTATTCGCCGAGGACTAGGCGAGTCTTCCGCTAATGTCCGGCTGAATTAATTACAACCAGTCACCTGAACGACCGACGCGTTGGGACCCGTTCCGGCCAAACGGTGGCTCGCTCCGGTAGAGGATTATTGTGCTGTCGTGAAAAACGTGTACAGTTCGTGAGCAGACAGATTTTGCAAGTTCGCGACTTTCCGCGGATTTCGTTTCATCGGTGTCGCTCTTTCGCCAGATTTTTTATCAGAATTTTTATTGCACGGCAGGTCCGATTCATGTTCGGGCATCTTTCGAAACGGTATAACTGTTTTAAAACAGTTCGTTTTTTTAGATGATAGGACTAGTCTACCGGACAATGACTAAAATATTGTTCTTAATGTTGCTGTAAATTGAAATAAGAAGTCGAGTGAACTTTTTTTATCCGAGTCTATAACGAAAATTTAAGAAATGCCGTTCGTAGTTTCCATTCGATCGGATGTTTAAACGATGGTGTGGAATGAAATTGTATTCGTTGGTCTACACACTGCGCAATGCCAATAATTATAACTAAAATTGATCTAACTAGAGCAATGGTAAAGTTTTCGAGCTGAAATTTTTACTGCAGTTCGTGTACATGATGTCGAAGGGAATTGGATACGGAGCTTTCAGTCCGACATTTTTTTCATGAAAGAAAAATCTTTTCGTTGTTAAAAAAGTTAGTTGGCGAAATAATTTGCGCACGATTCGTACGTTAACTCGAATTAATATTAGAATAGGTAGAATATACATATATTAATATATGTAATGTAATAGTATATATAATAATATTATATTATATAAATATATAAATATATATTCTCTCTCTCTATAATATTATTATATTATATAATAATAATAATATATATATTATATTATAATTAATATTATTATATATATTATTACATTACATATATTAATATATGTATATTCTACCTATTCTAATATTTAAAAAAATTATAGAAAATAGGTAGAATACTAATAATAGAATACTAAGTAGAATGCTAATAATATATATATAGAATATATATAATTATTAGAATACTAAGAATAGAGACCGTGTCTAGAAGAAGTGCCCAAAGCCTCCGCGCCAACAAATTCGCAAATAATGGTCCTAAGTATGGTCGACTACAATGGAGGGGCTCCGCTAACCGAGGGTTAATTATGTGCAGCAACGGTGAATTATTGTAGAAGGGGATGAACTGATTTGCGGTGGAGCGAGATCCTCGAGTGACTCGGCTAGAGTCTCTCAAGCAGGCAATTGTTTAGAAATACGTCCGGCTAGTCCAGTGCATGATCCAGCTCTCCGGCCCGACGGGAAGATTATAATTCATCCCCGCAAACCTGCTGGTTAACAGATATAAATTCTCGGGCAATCCGCGCGAATCGCGGGGTATTGAAATTTCCCGTTCCACCGCACGGTCTCCTTCGATTCTCCCCGAGCAGACGCCGAGGCTCCTAATGAAGCTTATTCTTGCCCGTTGGTTCGTTAAGCCCTTTAGCGGCATCGGGCCGCGATAAAAATAGAAATCGATGCCAACGCCGGAACCGTGTTTCGCGAAACACCGCGAAGACGGCGGAAACATTCGGAAAAATAATTGCGAGTCGATGCGGCCGTCCATTCCTCGGTGAAAGCCTGATCAAGACGATAGCCCACGATTCCCTTAACGGCGGCTGATAAGAATCCGCAGCTGTTACGTCGTTCGCGCTTGATAAAGGCTTTTTGATCGCGGCCGACAAACGTTTTACGAAGCTTAGACATCGCCGAGGAGTAATCAAGAGATCGCGGAGGCAGAGCACAAAGTGTTCCCAAAGAGTTCGATTACACCGTCGTCGGCTCTGCCGCCGTGCTAATTAAAGACGCGCTTTCAATCGGCGATTGCTGGAACGTGGAAACTTAGCCGGCGACACGTGGCAGAAAAATAATTACAGGTCGACGCGGCATTCGATCGACCGACGAAACCCGGATCGAGATAATCGCGAAACCGACAGTTGCATCGCGAAACTTATGAACTGCGGAGAGTAATTGGAAGATGATCGCGGCGGGCAAGTTCGCCGACAGCGGAGCGCAAACTGTTTCCAGCTCTGCACCGTTCGCTCAGCTACCGCGGGCTAATTAAACACGCGCCGTATTGTTCTCTCGCGTCGCTGAAATTCTTTCGCCGCGGCACGGATCTTCGCCGAGCCGGTTATTTCTAACGATAAAGGGAACCCTCGAGATGCCCTCCGCCTCTGTTCTACTTGTTTCTGGCCACTCGACCCAAAACATACGTTTATTTGGCTACGTGTCTGCGCAAACCTCGGCTAGAAGCGATTCCGAGTATCTGTCCCAGCTGCGTCATCGTTTACGTTAATGAAAATCGGGAACTAATGAATAAGACAAATATGCAAACGTCGGCGATCGCCCGGCGAACGCTTCGCGGAAATGTTCGCGGGAATTGTTAACCGAGGTCCCGGCTCGTGATTGATCGATCGTTAAGAACTTGGCGGGACGGCGATGGTTTTTTAGTTCTTAAAGGTCCGCAACTTTTCCTACGGAGCTGAACAATTTTCTTAAGATACGGAAAACTTGTTTAGATTGTATTATAAGGAGGCGTAAGTCGTTGGCCGTTTTTAGATGAAGAATGCCACTCGATGACGAACAATTCCAATTTGATATAATAATTTCATGTATAATTTGTTTCGACATACACCGATACGGTAAATTCTTCCTAGTTGACAGAAATGGACAATTTTGGAAGAGTAGGTACGATTATTCGAGCCTTAATCCTCTTCTGTTGAACAGTTACCACTTTTAGGCAAAGCGTTGATAAGTTGTTGCGAAGCAGCAACAATTTCATCAACGAAGAATTCCTCGGTTGCATCGTCCGATTCCTTGTAGGTTTATTAACCCTTAGAGCTCTATGGACGCATATATGCGTTCGGCGAAAGTCATCCGTGTAGCCTAAGGCCGCATTTATGTGTTTTCTCTAAGTCATCGGCCTGGACTAAGGGCGCATATATGCGTTTGTCGATTTTTTCAATCAATATGCAGTTATTTTCGTGTAAAATTAATACAGGGACACTTGTATCGGTCTATGTATTGATAATTGTTTTGAAATCTTTCACACACAATTAAATTATTAATTCCTGTTGTAAATATCAAATTAAGTTTTTTAGTTGATTGTAAAATTTAATGTTTTAAATTGTTAATGTTTATAATACATAATTTTAATGCTAAAATATAACAGTCTTTAATTATTTAACCTTCTGCAAAAGAATCACTATAATTTATTAGTGTTTGCGCCTTGGATAGTCACTTTAGTGTGGCAAAAAAGTATTCCGCCCCCAGCGATGGTCAGCGATAGCCGCGCTCCGTCTCTACGAACCGTTTCGGCCAGGAGTATTCAGAGCTCA